CGCGATTCCGGAGTGAACTGGCAGGAAGTCTCAGGCGGGAGCGGAGGTCTTGGTTAAATTGTGAGGAACCTCAAGCGGGAGACGTTGTTGTTGTAACCCAGGGGCCAGGGGTACAGCAGGGGTGGACCTGAACGGTGTTTTGGCGATTTTCTGGACCGTTTTCGTTTCGATTTCGTTTTGCGGTAAAGGCGGATTGAAGACATAACGAAATCGAGGAACATTGTTTAGTCCGTGCCTTGGGGTGCAGTTTTTAACCCGCGTGATCTTCCCTGTTTAAAACTGGGTGCGAGCCCCAGGGGAAGCATTTCAATTGAAAAACACAAAGGTATCCGTAGGGGGGATCAACAATGATGATTTTCAGTAGTAAGAGTTCAACAACAGCAACTACAACAATATGCTGCGCGCTCTGATCTGCTCGCGGGTCATTCAACGCGTATGTCCCAAACACTCGATGCCCGCCCTCTTCGTCTTCGATAGTACCCTTTTGGGTGTATATATCTTTCTTATCTGCAACGTGCGTTTCGTGCCGCCCCGAAGGCAGGGGAAAAGAGGACGGATGGAAGGAAGGGACCCGGGGGAGGGAGGAGGATGGAATTCGAAAGAAAGAGTAGCAGAAGGGGGGTATGAGCAGAAAACACGTGGCAGAACCAGACGGGCAGATCGGGCAGGTAACCCCAACGGGCGGGTCGGGAAGGCGGGCCCAGGCGGCCAGGTCGAGCAAACGGGTTGTTGAAGCGTGCGTCTTGCATGAATAGCGAGGAAGTCTCAAGCGATAGCGCGATTCCCAAATACATCGTAAGGAAATCCACGGCGTGAGTGTGATTCCTGAGTGTCGATGGCGCGGCGTCTGAATAAGTTGCGAGGATGTCCCACGCGAGAGCGCGATTCTGAGGACCTCCCGAGCGAGAGCGCGATTTGGGAATCAAGTGTGGGGAAGTGTCAGGCGGGAGCCGCTGTGGTTGTAAACCGGGGCCCGGCAACGCAGTTTGGTGACATGTTACTTCCCCTTGGAAGAAAAACAGGGTACGAGTCCCAGCAGGAGCACTTCCATTGACAAAAATACAACGATTACCGGGCAGGGGGGATCCACAACAATTACAGTGGAGGTCCATATCAAGAAACACCCTGCTTGCCTCCAGGGTGCCAAGGGTTTCTTGGGTTTCGAGGGCTTTGCGATGGAGCGCGTGGCGTTCTCACCAAACAAATCCATGGATGTCCTGGGGTCTCAGGCTTGGGTTTCTTGCCGAAGGCTTCTGGTGGGCTGGCCTCCCCTGTGTCTGTAAGAACTGAGGAAGGGCGGAGGAGGAGGAGGAGGAGGAGGAGGAGGAGGAGGACGATGAGGAGGAGGAGGAGGCCGAGGAGGCAGAGGAGGAGGAGGAGGAGGAAGGAGGAGGAGGAGGACGAGGAGGAAGAGGAGGAGGAGGAGGAGGAGGAGGAGGGGGCGGCGGAGGCGGCGGCGGCGGTGGCGGTGGCGAGGCGGCCGGTGGCGAGGCGGCGGGCTCGCCGGGCGTGGCGGAGGCCGTGGCGGAGGCCGAGGCCGAGGCGGGGCCGTGGCTCGGGGCACAGCACAGGGCCACAGCCACTGCTGCTCGGCGGCGCGCCCTGGACGCTGGGCATCGCTCGGATGTGTGCAGTTTTCTCCCTCCGGCGAGGACCATCGAGGAGCATCCTTGATCATGTGGCGAAAAAGCCACGCACGAAGCCGAAAAAAGCACAGGGAATGGAAACGTCCGAGCGATGGCCAGGAGGGCCACAGCCACTGCTGCTCGGCGGCGCGCCCTGGGGGGGGGGGCGCGGGAGGAAGAGGCCTGCTCTCGGACAGCGGCGGGGCCTCGGAGAGGCCCTCGCACCATTCTGGCTGGTCGGTGTTATCCCGCATGCTGGTGGTTCCGAAAGCGACTCCCCTGATGCCGTCGGGGACCTCCGTTTCCCGTAGGGATTCCCGTGGGGATTCGGAGGGGCTTCGCGCTTCGCATGTTCTGCCCCCGCCCGCGCCTTGCGGGCTCTCCGGGAAAGTCGGAAAGCTTGCTCGGAAGGCCCGAGGACTTCGGAGCCTTCCGAGAAGGCCCGCCCCTTCTCAGTTCCCCCCCCCAGGCGCGCCGCTGGAGGACCCACAACCGCTGCTGCGGTCGGGAACTTTCAAACCGCGTGCCTCGCCGCCAGTGATGGCCCACCGCGCTTCGGCGCGACACGCTGTCCACGCCCCAGTGCCCCCGCATCACCGTCCCGAGCTTTCCCGAACCTCTCGCCCCGCGGGTCGCCCCGCATCGCCGATGCATCGCCGATGCTGCTTGATGTGGAACCCGGTTGTTCCACGCCGACGTCGCCGATGCATCGCCGACGCATCGTTGGCGCATCGGCAATGCATCGGCAGTGCGGCGTGATCTTCCGACTCCATCTGCCTGGGCCCATTTGGGAGGCCTCCAGTCGCGGCCGCGGCCGCGGCCGCCGCCCGCCTGTTGTCGCCGCCGCCGTCGCCGGCGAGGGAGAAGCGTCTTGG